GCACATTCCTCATCTATAAACGTACATAGCCGCCTCGTTTTCACGTCGCATTACGCGGGTCATCCCCCGCATTACATAATTATATAACAGGGAACGAGACGAGAGAGCCAAGCGCTCGCTGTAGCTGTAGAGATACGCGAGGAGAAACGTTCCAGACAGAAAAGAAAAGCGAGGGGGAGAAAAGCAAACGTGTTAAGTGGATAATGAAGTGACGAGGTGACCCCCGCGGAGTGCGATGTACGGTGCATCACAGAACACGGACACACCTGGAGTGACGACTGGATGACGACAATGAACGACGTCGGTTAATGACATATGGCTGCTGCATCGCCCGAAGAAACTTTCAGAAGGGGGAGAGCTGCGGGTGAAAAGGGGTTGGGGTCGGGTTGGGGAGGCGGAGAGTTAGGCCCGACAAACTTTTTTTTTTTTCATTTTCCGACACAACCATATGCGCTCGCCTGGAAAAGAGAATGTCGGGACAATCGGAGGCTAAAGACAATGAGACTACTTTGCGAGGGATGGAAACAGGGGAACGGGATGGAGACGGAAGGCCGCCCGGTTGTATCAGCAGTTACCCCTTGCTTCTCTTTATCGCGTCGCTATACTCGAATCGCGAGATGCGCCGCGTTGTAATTGGAGTGCATATCGAGTTGTGTAACGGCACGCTCTGCACGCAGGAGGATTCTTTTCAGTTGAGGCGAAGCGGCAAATGAAAACGGCGAAATCCGCAATAAAAGAACAGGAATCGGGAATGCGTCAGCAATAGCTTTGTGTGGACAAAGAACTCATCCGTGTTTTATATGTATGTATACAATATATCAATCTAACGGCAGATCTCATAATCCTCGCTTTTACTCAGAACGGATTATTAATTAGTTATTTATTATCAATCTCGAATCATTTTTAATCTCGGGAAGAGTTGTTTTAAACCGATCACTTCAATTTGGAACATCTTACCACACACACTTGACAAAGTCGGTAGCGCGACATATGTGCAGAGATATATTGAATTTAAAGACAAAACCCTCTGCATTTAACGGAATTTCACACGGAAATCTGGGGCACGCATTATATTTTCGATCAAACATCGCTCGTGGCGATGTAAAACTTGCTTTACCGGGGCATGCAAAACCATCGAGTACACTCGGCATTTACATCGCATCTATCTACACGCGTACTTGCAACAAACTCTTCACCAAATACATGCTCTTCCGCTCGTCTCTTGCCCACAACAGCTCTAATAACACGTCCTCTATTATTGCGACGACGGAAATAACCGCGGAAAAATATTTTGCCACCGATGGCAAATAATTAACGTTGAGTTTTGCCTTCGGAATTACGTGACCACGATACACGCGCGTTCTTTTTTTTTTTTAACTTCTTTTTTTGCAAACACGTCGGATCGGCCGGCGGATTTCACTGAAAAGCAGAGATTAAATTCAGCTGGACTTTATAACGGGACTCACGAGCTCGAACGTATGTATGAAGAGAACGGAAGAAAGGCGTCCGACAAAATTCACTTAGCATCGCGGGAAAGCTAAATGAAAATGGTTGTTTGCGGCGCGGTAAAAGCCTCTGCGCGCGAAAGTTGCATCATCGCGTCGCGTTCCCCCCGTATTCAGAGAATGAAACATTCCTACTCGCCGAGTGTGTAGAAAAGGACCGGGCTCCAATTTGAAACAGGTGTGTCGCGGAAAATTCGCTACGAGGCAGAAGGTTTTGTAATAATTCTCAATATTTCGCGAATTGACGATTTTTGTAGAAAAAAGATAATTTGTGGTTCTTGTATTCCATGATATTGTATATTTTTATACATTAGTAATGATAAATATTAGTAAAACACACTGATGCATATTTGACAATTTTTGCCAAACAATTTTATATCAGCAAAATTATTTAATGGAATAATTTCATATATATTAGTTCTAGTTTTCTCAAACATTTTTTTACATAAAAACAAGAAATTGTTTGTAAAAGGTATATATATATATATATATGTATATTTGTATACATATATATATATGTATATATATATACATATATATATATTTTATTTTAATATATATTTTTATTTCAAAGATACAGAGATTCGAGTATACGTTCAATCTATATATGTGCTCAGTGATCAATACTTGCAAAGAGGAACAAAGGTAAACAAATAAAAGATGCAATGAGATGCTACGAGTGCATATCAATATCGACATTTTCATTAATGTTCCACAGCGGTTTTATATTCGCGTGTCGTTTTTCTCATTTTAAACCGGAATTAAATCACATTTTATTGGTCGACGAGTCGAAAGGAGATACACAAATATAAGACATAAAGCGAAGAAATGGCCAGGGCAAACGGGCGAGCGAAAAAGCGAGAAAAAAGCTGCCAATTATGTATTCAAATGTGAACGCGTCCCGCTATCGGACTCGCAGGAAAAAAGGATAAAAATTCAATTAAAAGAGTATCTCCGGCTCCGGCACGGCGCGGCGCGGCGTCGAAAACGTCGCGAGCGCACCGCACCGCAGCCGCAGCCACAGCCGCAGCCGCAGCATCGATTTTATTAATACAACCGTCCTCAAAACTGATCGGTCAAATTTCATTTTCCGGCTTGATTACAGTTACCATTATCGATACCACGCGGCCACAGCCGTATACTTTTGCGGGATTACATTTAAAATGGAGATCGCGATCCAGCGAGTTTGGCCCGGCGTTTGTAATAAATAGTCCGCCGTTGCCTCGAAATGTCGTCCTGGATATCACATTTAAAAAATCAAGTTTTGAATAACAACAATACAGCAAAAAGACAAAGAGAGATAGAGAGTTTGCTTGGCAAGCTAGCTGAATATTTTAAGAACAAACTGGAATAGTTTATTAATTTTCAATTTCGTATGTAGGTTTGTCAAATTTTAATTCCAGTGATGGAGTTTATTTGCTTCTAATTTGTAACCTATGTTATACTATATTTTATCACGATTGGACGCACATTAAAATCTAATAATAAAAGGATGTACTTATCGATTTATGGATTTTTTCTTTTATGTTTTGGATATAATAAGGCATAAAGCGTATAGTAAACAATAGTATAGTGATTTGATGTCAGGTTAAAAGAAAAAGGAATGAAAGCGTGACCTGAATGCATCGCATATTAGCCGCCTGATGTGGCCGCTCATTTTATACTCATTTCGATATGTGCGTTTAATGCGTTCTCCATGTCCGATAAATAAAGCTCAAAAACAGAAAGGGGTGGTGGCAACATTTAGCGCTGAATACGTAACGAAAACACAGGTATTAAACTTCGCGCACACATGTTCACGTTTGGGAAGAAACTCTGGCCGTGCATGGGCCATAATATATTCGGACACGTGATTATACTCACCCCCAACGAGACTCGCGAGCGCCAATTATCGCAGCGTTTTCGTTCGCGTCATATCGGCCACCAATTACGGAAGCTCCAAATAGATTCGCGTGCACTCGGCTTTACGGGCGTATGATAAAACGTGTAAATTCGCTGGCCACGCGACGATGATCCGGTAAATTTGTCGCTGACGGCGTAAAACAAGGGACGAAATTAATTGATCGTGCATTAATTTTAACCAGATGCCATGGTCACTATTCAAAAGGTATTGAGCGCCCGCTTTACTGAACATCCAGATCATTAAGCATTTTCAGAGCAGAGTTTCAACGATAATAGTGCTATATGCAAAAGAATAATACGTTTTGAATTTCATTTGTTTAAACTTTAAAACTATACGTAACACGGGAGATGATATAATACACACATTTTAGGAAATCTAAGAAGATTATTCGATCGAAATGTAGATAAATTAACGTTTTTATTTTGTATTATGCTTACATCTTGCGTAAGACAATCAATTATTTTTCTTTAAAATTTATTAGTATTTATATAATATATAATATATAAGATACTAAAGTTTATAACGATAACGCGCTGATAAATTGAAACAAAATATATCACAATATACTTTACAAATTACTAAAAGCAAATCTGATTTTACATCGAGCACGCTATATCTGTTTCCTATTTGAATTTAATTATTGATTAAAATTATACATTCAGATCGCGTCTTGAGCCAACTTGGCTGTTAAAATATCATGATTAATTGGTATAATTACATTTGATTAATGATCTTAATTACATTATCTTTCTCAGCCCTCGAGCGCACTCTGCATTTCCGTAGAAATTATTGTCCTATTGTTATTATAATCGACGCTATTATATGGCGGAAGTTATATAATCTTTTGTTCGATGACCACAGCATAGCCAGTGTTACGACTATTAAACGGAAAACGTTGACCATTAAATCTTTATCTTCTGGCACAATCATAGATCTTTAAGATTAAAACATAATCTTAAGCAGGGAATCATAAAAAAGTGTTTAAATAAAAATTTTAAAAGATTTTGTATTTTGCAACAATCCCAGGGTTTAATAACAATTAAATAACTTTTGCTGAAAATATGTTTCAATGTAACAAATAGGAAAATGTTTGGGTTTTATCGCGAAACGAAGAATTGTTTAGCCAGGAAGCTTCGAAGGGATGTTCTGTCTTTTTAAATCGTTTATCAGCGAAGCAAGGAAATACGTCTCTCATATTTCCATATGCGCTACAGATACATGCCGATTTGGAGTGAAAAGAAATGTTCACTCCCGGGACGCTCCCTTGTGAATCGCGAGCAGAGAGTACAGTCTGGAAAAATATCGGAGACATACCTTTCGAGAATATCCGCGGCTTAGGAGAAAATCGCGCACGAGTGATCTCGTGAACTCGAGGACGCGACGTCGCCGCTGCGGCGTCGTCGTCGTCATCGTCGTCGTCGTCGTCGTCGACGCGGATTAAACTCCGTCGTGCGGGAGTGAAATCACCGGGCGCGAATCGAGCCATTAATACGGGGCAGATTAGTCGCGCTCTGCAGTTCGCGTGTATTCCGACCACGTTTTTCCGGTTATATGATCTTGGCCTGACTCTCGACCCGACTTTGTCATTACAGTGACAATGACAGATGCGGAAGCAGTGGCAGGCGGAATTGCTCAGCTACCATGCGACGTGAAACCACCGCTCTCGGGGGACAAGCTGCACCTAGTTATTTGGTATAAGGAGGAGGCAGATGCACCGATATACAGGTAAATTTCTTCTTCTTCCATTTCTCTATCTTTCCCCCTTTCGCTCTCTCTTTCTCGCGTACCTTCTTATGTTGATCGCGTGCAATATCGTTCACGCTTTTCGAATACAAAACCGCGAAGCCGCGGTGCGTGCTCATTATTATTACAACAGCGTTTGACGCTGTAAGTTATTTTGCAGATTCCGTCTTTTGATATCTAACTTCGGGTGAAATTAGCATAAAGGATTTAAGTTTCCCGTTTCTAAATACTTTTGCTGCATCGGTTATTTCAAAAGTCTGATATATCATGCTAGATTGAACCAAATTTTTTACCTACATAAATAAACAAAGGAAAAATTTCCGTTATTTTGACTGATTTGTAACAAAATATTCTACCTCGACGTTTGCGCTCACAAAAGTCAATCCCAAATTTTTACTGTAAAATGTAAATAAAAGTTGTGTCTATTTTCGGTCAATTTTTACAGCCCGCATATGTATGTACGTACAATGTACTGCATATTGTGACTTATTGTTAGGTAACACAATTATTCTCTTGCACATATTTAACATTGCAATGCCGCGCTTATGGTATGTGGAATGATAATGTCACGTATGATATATATATATATAAAAGGCAAATTATACATAGGAATATGAGATACATTACGACACACGTTGAATAGTAATTGTGAAACACAAAATTGTATTCCTTTTCATTCTTATCAACGTGTGCAAATAATACGTGCAAACTGTAGTATACGATTTTACACGCGTAATGCTATTCTCTTGACTTATAGCACCAAATTCGCTCATTTGTATAATAAATAATTAGAAATGGAAATAATAAATAGCTTCCTCGAAACTAACTTCCGATTCATCAAATTAGCTATACATCGCTCTCAAATTTGTAAATATGTATATTACGTAAATATGTATAGATAATTTATGAAACGCCTTAAACGTTTTTGTTTGAACTATAAAGTTGTACGACGAAATAATTTTATAATAAAACAATTTAGCTTGTAGTGGTCGAAGAATGGCATAAATAATATTTCTACCAAGATAATTGCAACAGTAATTATTTTGAAATGAGATTTATCAATTTCTTGAGACGGGGGATTATGCACGGGATATACTCGAGTCAGCTGAGAAAACGAACTTCTTCCGTTTGTTCCGCGTTGGACTTAATTCGCGCAAATGGAAATGCCTCTCAAACAGAAAGACAGGCATAATTTACATTCCGCGCCGCGAAAGTGACATATCAGAGAACTGCAGGAAAATCGCTCGATGTTCCAGTTAGAGGACCCTTCGACGTTCATTAAATCAAAGTGAATTGCATCTGAGAGATATGTTAATTGGCCGAAACCGTTAATGTGCTCGTCGATCAAACGAACAACGTAAACGATCCTGGCAATATGATCATTGTTAATGGGACCGCTATCAAGTCATATTTACAGTCAGTCTAATTAGAATTACATATACCACTCGCACGACATATACGCGTATTTCATGCATAGAAAATTTTAAACCTCTATTGCTGCGAATAATTATTGGGTTTGATTTTGATTACATTGGTTGCTCCTTCCATTATTATTGCATCTAACATGTAAATAACACCTTCCAATTACAGTAATTCGATATTTTTAAATCATTCGGTATGTATGCAAAATTTATTTTCATGTTTGTATAAAAATATTTCAACCGTATATATAATATTTTTGTTATTTTTAAAATTTAACATATTGGCTCTCCGCAACGATTTATTATACGAATTTTGCCGTTTCATATGATTTTTAAAAAGTCTCAAAAACCCTCGCTTTAAAATGAGTTTTATAATATTCTTTTAATTACAAAAGCACGTTTTATCGCATTTCTAATCCTTTTTAACTTTTTAAAGTTTTTTTGTGATACATTTATTATTGGAAAGCGTATAAAATTAATTTATTATAAATTTATTAAATGGAGAAAATAATAGATAAAAACGATAACGATAACGTGATGAAAACGGATATCCTACGGATGTTTAATCCACTTCTACCGTGTTGAACCTCTTTTCTGAGAACTACTGGCGCATTACAAGAGATTGTTTTCATTGAAATGAAAAAACTTTCCCGTTAAGCGTCTTATGTCTGTAATTCGCTGAAGAGTTCTCTCTCGACAGCTCGATATTAGTTTGCCGAGGTATGTCAAAGGAAAAATTAACGTATGCCAACTGTACTCGGAGGATTAATTAATCCGTGACGCCGGCTGCAATTTCGACTACGATTCTGCCAACGGGGAGTTGGTATTTTGAGTGCCGCCACGTATTCCTTGTAACGAAAGCGCAATTGCCGTATAGGAAGCACGATGACTGTGAATCCTCGCGTCGGAATTTTTCGAGTCGGCTTAACCGAGCGATTAACTTAACGCCGAAATTCGTGTGGCAGACGCATTGTGATTAGAGAGAGAGAGAGAGGGGGGGGAGGGAGAAAGAGAGAGAGAGCTCGCATATATTTATAACATACATATGCGTGTATTACATAATTCTTCCCGCAAGCACAGACAGGGCAAATTGCTTGACGCATGCATATTTTACGATGACTGACACAATTAATTTGTAAATTACACGGCCTGAAACGTAATCAGCCGGCATTGCTAACTTCGCGGGATTGTCGGCTTATTATATTTGCCGGCGGATTTACGCATCGCGTTTGAAGTTTGCGAACCGGATGTGCCCACGCATTTTCGGAGGAAAATTGCGCGCGGCTCGTTGCGTTGCTTTAGTTCAGTTATTAACTAAATGGCGGAGTAACGCATTAAGCATGCTAGATAGCCGAAATTATCCCGTTGTAGCACGCATACAACAACGCTCGATCTTGATAATGTATTCGTTGCTTGGCAACCGATGCGCGCACAATCGATGCGTCTGCACAAAATCACGCGCACGGAGAATTAATACGCGGCGAAGAAGGGAACGCAATTATTCCGGTAATTTGATTAAATTGCTGCGTTTTGCTTGCGCGAAATAATAAATCCGAGAGAGCCGAACGGTAATAAATAAATGAATTTAAGTCTAAGCGTATCAAGCCGCGTCGTTTGAGTCGCAATTTAATATGTACTCTGGGTGGGATTGAAAGAGAGAGAGAGAACGGGAAGAGAGTTAATATAGTTGTTTGAGATCGTACGAGGCGCTTTCTCGATCGCAGAGAAAAAGCCCGGATTAAGGTAACCCACGCATCCTCCGCTCTCTTCCTCCTTCGAGCGGCGCGGCGCCCGCCCGATTCTCTTATTTCGCGAGTTGATATCGCGATTTATGCATAGAAACGAAACGAAGCCAGAAATCCCATATTTCCCTGCGCTCACATGGAGAATCGCAACCATCAGGAGGATGGCAACCCAACTCTGTGACACACTTACATTAGTGTATGTCTATCATCGTGCCGGAGTGTTCCCCCAAGGGTGGTCCATATAGCGAATTGGCTGCTGCCCCTTATTTCTCCCTCCCCTCTTCTAAACGTCCCTCCCTTTCCTCCTTCCTGCTCCACGCTCCCTCTTTCTCCCGCTTCATTGTTCTCTCGCAAGCACGTCCCACCCCTCCCGTCGACTCTGATATATGAATTGTAGCGTGGGCTTTTAAAGGCATCCCAGGGTGAAATTATGGATACGATATTTATTTCTTCTGGCGCGCACCACGCGTATCTATCGCGTTATCCCGCCGGCACTTTTGCGCGGTTTTATTAAGTTGAAAGTCTTCCCCGACCCGTGACGAAGTGCTCCGGCGCGCCGCGGCGGCCTTGTTTTTTGATACACACCACCTCCCGGATGCTCGCGCCAATTGATTTAGCTTCATCTGTTTTCTCGGCTTTGGGCTGTCACGACTCGAAGCTCGTCATAAAGCCAAAGCACATATGACAGTCGTAGTCGTGGACGTAAGTAACGCACAAGCTTTGGCGTATCCTGATTTGTCAGGTCGAGGCCTCCACCTCCTCTCAGGCTGCTCGAGATGTCCATCGTGTTCCCTCGATGCGAAACTGATGGTCCTATCAGCGTGGATATTTTCTGTAACATAAAAATAATCGAATCGATTAAATAATTGTCACGCGCATTGAATATTTTATTCGTTATTCAGATTAATATACATTCAATTTACTTCTTCGCAAAAAGGTCTCTACGTTAAATTCAACTTGAATCTTCAAATTATTTCTTTTTACTAATTTATATTTTAAAACACGGTTTAATGTAGCAACTGAATAAGCACAAACCAAAAGAGAGATTTTATAATATCTTTAGAAAAAAATAAAAAGTAATATTTACTAGAAGTGTTGGTACGCCGATGCCCGATGCCTATCCTAGGCCTCCTCCTCCTCTCAGGCTGCTCGAGATATCAGCTTCGCAGGATTCCCTCGCTGCTCCGATGTCACCTTCTGCGTCGTTATTTTCTGAAATATTCAAATGAACGATTCGATTAAGTAAAGACAGAAGAGATAGAACATTTTTGGACATAAGTAACATAGGCCGGTATTCATAGGCTACGTTCGGGGAGCACGCTATTAGCGCTATTGCATCATTCTATCTTTATCGCTCATCAGGTATAAAACAAGGATAGAATAAGCAAATAGCGCTAATAGCACGCTCACCGAACGCAGCCATAGTCGGTTCTTATATTTAAAACCATTTTAAGTACAATCTTAAGATATCATTAACCAATCACAGAGCCGTATTAGCATCTTAAGATATTACTTAAGACGGTCTTGAAATAAGATCCGACTATGAATACCGGCCATAGTACGTAAAAATCACTTACACTCACCACTTTCTTTCCTGCTGTTCCGGCCGCAAAATTCATCTTCACCTCCGGGTCAAACAGGAGTCTCGAGCCACATTGAGACTCGTGGCAATGCAGTTTGACTTCATCCATTAAGAAAGAAAAGTCAAGAAGCCATTTCGGCTATATTGCATTAATTTTACAACGTTGTTGCAATAGTCGAACTGTCTCTTGACCTTTCTCGCTGAATAGAAATGTAATTGCTGAAAGGAATTAAAAATTATTCTCTACCTTTTTTTTTTTTTTTTTTTTACGTGGTGGAAATCTTCGAAAGACTCCCCCACCCTGAGGAAGGGAGGGAGAGTGTCGGATTCTACGCGCACGCGTACCACCGTTACGAGGGGCGCTTCAGAGGACAGAAATCCCCTGAGCCTCCCTCAGCGTGGCATCGCGCGCCCATAGCCTACCGACTAAAACCACCACGAGCGACCCTGACCTAACTTCCACCGAGTTTGGTGGGTGTCGAACCGCAGACACACGCACCACCGCGCTACGCGAAGTCGCGATACGCCTAACCTACACCGAGC